GCAGGGCTAACTCTCTGACTTTGATCTCTTGTTTGGCCTTTTCTTTCCAGCAAGTGTGAAAGACACAAGGAAAAGCAACAGGTAGAGGTAGGAAGGATTATGAAGTTGGGAGTATGGTATAGTGACAAGTCACAGTGCTTGTCTATTGGTAGCATATCACTTGGGGCCTTAAATTGCCCATCTGTGAGACCAGAGAATAACCTCTGAGTGGGGTGATCACGTGGCCCAGTTTTCCAGAACAACCTGATTTATACTTGTTGTGTCTCAGCAGCTATCATCAGCACCCGTCCACTCTCAGAAGTGTTCCACTGTGGGTCATAAATTCTAAGGTCGCCCTATTGATAAGGCTCTTTCTGACTCTTAATTTCTGTTGTTTCAGACTGAACCTAATAATACTTCTTTGTTGACTACGCAACGCGAATTTTCACTTTTCAGGACTGGAAGTATAGGGATTGACAGCATGTGGCATGACCCTAGTCTAGAGATAGGTTTGTATTTCTGATACCCATATTTTGTCTGGGAGCTAGTGTTCTTTTTCTTTAAAAGTACACTAGTAAATCCCCTTCCAGTGGATTTGTTCCAGCTAACTTGGGATTATTATACAGTAAGTCCCCTACATATGAACAAGTTCTGTTCTGAGGGTGTGTTCATAAATCCAACAAAATTAGCCTAGATACCCAACTAGCACAATTGACTATACATCACCACTGCTTTTACGTTTGCTTCTGGACATCCTGAGCTTGAAATATACTGTACTACTGTACTCTATGCAGTACTGTAAAGTACACAAAAGCACAACCACTTGTAGAGAATGCACACATGTGACAAGGTACACCAGACACATGACCTAACTTACGTGATCGGACATATGAACATACTTTCACGTCTTTGAAAGTTTACAACTTGAAGGTTTGTATGTAGGGGACTTAATGTATAAATATTCATTTCCTGCTTCATACTAATAGTGGCTTCCACTTATTGAGTGTCTACACTAAGTCAGGTTAAGTGTTGAGTGGATTATCTCATTTAAGCATTATAGCATACTGATGCTTTAAGATAGTTCCTCACTTTATAGATAAGGAAATAGGTCTAGCAAAGTGACCTGCAGTCAAAAGATGAAACCAGTAATTCCTAAGCTGTTAACCACTCTGCTATACTGAGAGATATATATCTCAATACATATATGTATATACACACACCCACACACACACATATATTGTGTATATATATACACACAGACACAGAAGATAATCTGAAAAGTTACCAGGCTTCCTAAATTCCCACTGACCTTTCCTGTAATTATCAGTGTCTACGCTAGTCTCTAATTTTCTCTTCCATTGCTTCCACTGTCTATTTTTACCTCCATGTAGAAACACCTGCCTCAAGTATACAAACAGATTTTGAGGCCAGTTGCAGTGGCTCATGCCTATATTCTAAGTACTTTGGGAGGCTGAGGTGAGAGGATCGCCTGAGCCCACAGGCTTGAGACCAGCCTGGGCAACATGGCGAGACTGCATCTTTACAATAAATTAAAAAAAAAAAATTAGCTGGGCATAGTGGCACACATCTGTAGTTCCAGCTACTTGGAAGACTGAAGCAGAAGGATCGCCTGAGCCCAGCAGTTCGAAGCTGCGGTGGCTGTGAGTGTGCCACTGTACTCCAGCCTGGGCGACAAAGTGAGACACCGACTCAAAAAAAAAAAAACAAAAAAAAGCCCAAAACACCACCCACCTTTTTTTTTTTTTTTTGAGTTTGTCTTTCTTTCCACAGTATAAACAGAAAACAGCTTTTTTGGTGTATATTTACATAGATACTTAAAGAAAAACCACCAGTTGACACCATATCATTCTGCTTTTATTTATTGTCTGGCTAACTTACAAAGAGGCAGATGTCTAGGGTAGTCTCTACCCTACCATTTAAACTACCCAAATAACATAGATACCAAAGTGTGTCTGTTTACATAGTGCAATGGTATGAAACATTTTTTTCTTCTTCTACAGTCCCTCACTATAAAGAGGGAAAAATTAATCTCATGCCAAAATTTTCTGGGCACTTTAATAATCATTCCATTTTTGCTACTAAAATAACAAAATTGGTATTACAAGTTAAAATATAAAGACCTAACAGTTTTGACAAATATGCAAATAATCTGCTACTTAGACATAAAAAGTTGATTTCTTTCAAATCACAAAGTAAGGCACCATTGGATTAAACATTTTTCTTGGCTTTTACTAAATAAAAATGCATAGTGAAATAAATACTGAATGCTGAATTTTAATACTGTAATACATTTCAATATAAAATGATATGTGACGCTAAAATACGGTATTGCATTTTGAATATATTTATTTGGAAATGTTATGAAAAAACACACACGTAAGCTCCGACTTGAGAGAAGAAAATATTAATTTCTGTGACTTGCCAGAGTTGAAGATTTTAGCATAGAACTTATTCAAAGTTTTAGATGCAGTTAGGTTGCTAACCTTCAAAGAAAAGGTGTAGGTGTATTAATGAAACATTCACTTAAAAAATGCATTCTAAAACATCTCTATTCCTGATGAATGGTGACTCTGAGCTAAGACTTTCAAATTTAGAACGGCTCCTGTAAATTGAGATATTTCTTATTGTCCTTTACAAAATTCTGACTCATTTTCTTTGTGTCAGACTTTTCTCCACTATATTTGCTAGGAATCCAGGTCAAACTCCATCTTTTGTGAAGTGGGTCACTGGGCTTTATTATAGGGATGCTTGTCACTGTTGATGTCAGATTAAAAAAAAAAAAATTATGCTGCTAAATTACCAAAATGGGCTGGGTATGGTGGCTCATACCTATAACCCTGCCACTTTGGGAGGCTAAGACAGGAGTATTGCTTGAGCCCAGGAGTTTGAAACCAGCCTGGGAAACATAGTGAGACCTCATCTCTACAAATAAAATCACAAAATTAGTGGGGTATGGTGGCAGGCTCCCTGTAGTCTCAGCTACTTGGGAGGCTGAGGCAGAAGGTTCACCTGAGCCCAGGAGGTTGAGGCTGAGGTGAGCTGTGATTGTGCCACTACACTCCAGCCTGGGTGACAGAGTGAGACCCCAATTAAAAAAAAAAAAATTAAAACATTTTTCCAAGCTTGTTACCTTTATATTTCTTGACCCTCTTTGGGTAAAAAAAACCCCAAGTGACTGTATGGGAGCTAGATGAAGGGGAGCGGGGAGAGAAACAAGTTCTCTAATGTACTAAGCCCAGGACTTTGGCAAGGAAAGTTATAAAAATACAATATATAAATCAGTAACTTCATAATTTATTAGACATCCCATTTATTAGAATTCTAAGTTCTTTTGCTTTTATATAAATGAAACAATTATTTATTCTATAAATAGGAATGCATCTCTCAAATTTTTCTTTGGATTAATTTCCTGTTAGCATCTCCCAGTAATACACGAAAAACACACTGAAATCATGATACACAGCTTAGGTAGATATACATATACATATGTGGTCATGTGCTTTCCAAAAAGAAGTAATGGCAGTTTTAAACATAATCAACCATATAAAACATCTAAGTGGAAATATTTTTTTTCCCAACTCTATAGCTAGATCTTAAAATTTTGTAAACAAAATCATATTTTTTAAAAAAGGCAAGGCTGGCTCTTCCCTACGGTCCTCTCGTGGAGCTTTATTTGCATAGATCCAAGACAAATGATTCTCCTTCCAATTTCTCCTAGCAATCTCCCTAGTTCCTGTCTTCCATGTGTCTGATTTGATACCTCTCCCTGACTCCTCCCCTCCTACCAAGCCTTACCAGCCTCTCCAGCCTCGAGGAGCCTGATCAACCAGGGAGGAACAAAGGCAGCTTTCAACCCACCAGGCAGGAGTCCAACTGACAAGCGAGCGCCCGAGCCAGCTGGGTCTGAGCCCGGAAGACCCGACAGGCTTTCAGTTTCTTTCCAATGGCTTTATCCCACATGACTGTAAACCGTATTAGATCAATTTCTGACCTTGGTACTGTGAAGCAACACTTGTGCACGGATATTAAGGGAAGGGGGGAAATAAGGGAGCAAGCTCTGAGGTCAAGCTGCCTGACAGAGTGTTGGGCCCTAACTTTATTTTCAGTCACCTCTTGAACTGCTCAAGCTTATCTTGTCTTTGTTGTTTTTTAAATGAAAGGTTTTAGCACTAGCTTGCATCTTCCAGACTTTCGTGCTGTCCAATACAATAGCCCCCAGCCATGTGTGGCTACGAGCACTTTGAACGTGACTAGTCGGAATGGAGATGTGCTGTAAGTGTAAAATACACCCTGGATTTTGAAGATGTAGTACCAAAAATGAATGTAGAATAGCTCATTAATAATTCTTATATTGATTACAGGTTGAAATGATCATAGTTTGGATGCACAGGATTAAATAAAATATACTCTTCATTTCACCTGTTTCTCGTTGTCTTTTTAAAAACGAGGCTGGGCTGGGTGCAGTGGCTCACGCCTATAATCCCAGCACTTTGGGAGGCAAAGATGAGAGAATGCCCTGAGCTCATGGATTCGAGAACAGCTTGGGCAACTTGGCGAGACCTCATCTCTACAATAAACCAAAAAATTAGCCAGGCATGGTGGTGTGCGCCTGTAGTTCCAGCTACTTGGAAGCCTGAAGCAGAAGGATCACCTGGGTCCAGCAGGTCGAGGGTGCGGTGGCCTTGAGCGTGCCACTACACTCCAGCCTGGGCAACAGAGTGAGACTCCAACTCAAAAAAAAAAAAATAATAAAATAAAATAAAATAAATGAGGCTACTAGAAATTTTAAAATTGTATATGGGGCTCAGGCTGTATTCCCATTGGACAGCTCCATCCGAGAGCCTATTCCAGACTGCCAAAGGTCGAACATCCTGTAGCTGCAAAAGTTTCCCATGAGCCCTTGCTCAGCAACTTGCCTAGGTGGGCTGTGGTTCACGGAAACAGACAGGAGGCCAAGCATGCGAAAAAAAACATGGAAGAAAACAGCTCTCAGGGCCTTTAATAAGCAATGAATGCCTGAATTTGGTAAGCTGGAAGCTGAGATACAATTAATCTCTGCCTATTTGCCACAAAAGCCTATCGACCCCAGCAGTCTACACAGGCCGGCTGCAGCTGAAGCCAGCAGTAGCTTGGAGAATCTACACAATATAAAAAGCTAGGTGCGTTTCTTTACTGGATTCCCACCCCCACACACGCATAGTCCCACTCACCCTCACTTCTTTCCCCCTGCCAGTGTGAAGGGGACAAGGGAAGAAAGGGGGAGGAGGGTGTGCAATTTTCCGACAGCAACAACAGAAGCAGCTCTTGAGCTTGGAAGAGGAGCAGGCAGAGATCACCTTGGGATGGGAGGAAGAGGGGGAGCACCCCTTTCTCTTCGGTTGGATCCACCTTGATAAAAAAAAAACAGACAAAATATAATTTTGGTTTGAAAGCTTATGCCCTCCCTGTGGAAACTCGGGGATGATTACAAAGGTACCCACTACCTCACCCCCTGACCAAGGCTTTGCACTAACCGGAGTATATTGTGGGTGAGAAGCGAGAGGTGAAAGGAAGATGCAAGTGATGATCTGAATAAATATTCTCAAAGCATGACCCACCGCTGGATACCAAACACTTGCACAAAGTTAACAAATGCTTTTCTTCTTATCACACAGTAAGTGTTTATTACAGATTTAGAAAATATGGATGAACAAAAACAGAGCAAAAAATTCACTCATGCTTGCACCAACCAGAGATAACCAATGACAGTATGATATATTTTCCCTCAGAAACAGTCTCTTTGACTGGGTATGGTGGCTCATGCCTGTAATCCCAGTACTTTGGGAGGCCAAGGCAGGAAGATTGCTTGAGTCCAAGAGTTTGAGACAAGCCTGGGCAACGTATCAAGATACCAAGACCTTGTCTCTGCAAAAAACACAAAAACTAGCTGAGCGTGGTAGTGTGCACCTGCAGTCCCAGCTACTCAGGATGCTGAGGTGGAAGGATTGCCTGAGCCTAGGAGGTCCAAGTTGTAATGAACACTCCAGCCTGGGTGATAGAGTGAGCATCTATCTCAAAAAAAGAAAGAAACAGTTTCCAACTTTTCTTCCAGAAATAGAATCATACAGTCAGTTTGAACATCTTTCAAAGGCATTCCTCTTTGTATTATTAATGACACATTGTGTTCTAATATATGGGTAAGCTATAGTTTATCTAATCAATTCTCTTGTTGGGCATTTAGGTATCTTCTAATTTCTAAGCAACACTTTTTTTGATAGTAGCTATCCTAATGGGTGTGAAGTTGTATCTCACTGTAGTTTTATTTGCATTTTCCTAACGATTAGTGACCCTGGGCATCCTTTCATGTGCTTATTGGCTATCTGTATATCTTCTTCTGAGAATGTCTATCCAAGTATTCAAACTACTTTTTAATTAGGTTTTTTTTTATTTTTTATTTTTATTTTTTTGCTGTTGCTGTTGAGTTGTAGAAATTCTTGGTATATTTTGAATATTAATCCCTTATCAGATATATTATTTCTAAATATTTTCTCCCATTCCATGGGTTGTTTTTTCACTCTGTTGATGTGTTCTTTTGAAAGCTATTCATGGCAGGCACAGTGGCTCATGCCCGTATCCAAGCACTTTGGGAGGCAGAGGCAAGAGGATGGCCTGAGCTCAGGGGTTCGAGACCAGCCTGGGTAACTTGGTAAGACTTCGTCTCTATAGTAATAATAATAATAATAATAATAATAAATAATTAGCTGGGCAGGATGGTATGCATCTGTAGTCCCAGCTACTTGGAAGGCTGAGGCAGGATTGCCTAGTCCTGCAAGTCGAGGCTGCGGTGACTGTAAGCGGTGACAGAGTGAGATTCCAACTTAAAAACAAACAAAAAAGCAAACAAACAAAAACAATATTGCTTATGGCTGGGTGCGGTGGCTCACATCTGTTATCCCAGCACTAAGGGAGGCTGAGGTGAGATAATTGCTTGAATCCATGAGTTTGAAACCAACCTGGGCAACATAGTGAGAACTTGTCTCTACAAAAGAATAAAAAAATTGTCTGGGTGTAGTGGTGCACACCTGTAGTCCCAGCTACTCGGGAGGCTTTGGCAGAAAGATTGCCTGAGACCAGGAGGTCAAAGCTGTGGCAAGCCATGATCGTGCCACTGCACTCCAGCCTGGGTGACAGAGTTAGAATCCAACTAAAAAAAACAAAAAAAGCTATTCATGGGCTATTAGTGCACCATAACCAGGTTTAAAATTCATCCACATTTAAAAAAAATTCACTTATCACACACATAGTTTTTGAGGATGTAACAGGTGTTAGGCATGAGGTCAGGTTCTAGGATGGTGTGAGTAGGTCTACCAGGGACACGTGTCAATTAGGTAGATCTGTTATAAACACTACCCTGAGATTCAGTGGGCTGGCAGGGCAGATTCCTCAGCAGGCATCTTGACACTACCTAGTGGTACACTTAGGGATTTCTGAGAAAGAACCAAATCTCTGAGGAAGGAGAGAAGTTGGAGGAAAATACTGGAAAAGGTGTCTCTGCCTCTCTTCATCCCAACCAAATATTGATTTGGGCAGGCATCTGTGGAAGACGACACCTGCCATGGAGCCTCAACCATCAACTGACACGCCACCCTGGTTAGCAAAATGAGTGTTGGTCCTGTCCAAAGTTGTAATCAGGGGGCACTCAAAGTGCACTCAGCACTGTTCAGGGCTGTCTGGGTACCCTGCCAGGCTGTGGGAGGGGAGGCTGAGGCAGCTACAGGAGCAGAATGAATCTTGGTACTTGATAGTACTTTATTTATTTTTGCCAGATAAATGATCTATTATCATTATAAAATAATAAACATGCTTAATGCTGGAAATATTTAAAGAAAATCTACAAAAAAATTGGCAGGCAGTGGAAATTAATACGCCAATTAAAATTTTTTTTCTGACAGGATCAACCAGATAAAAATTTTAATTTAATTTAATTTAATTTTTGAGTTGGGGTCTCATTGCGTCACTCAGACTGGAGTGCAGTGACACAATCACAGCTCATTGTGGCCTTGAACTGCTGGCCTCAAGCAATTCTTCCTCCTTATCCTCCTGAGTAACTGGGACTACAAGTGTATATCACCACACCTGGTTAATTTTTGACTTTTTTAAAAATAGAGACGAGCTCTCACTGTGTTGCCCAGGATGATCTTGAACTCCCATCTTGGCCTCCCAAAGTGTTGGGTTTACATGTGTGATCCACCACCTGGCCAAATCGGGTAAAATGTAAGAAAATTTTTAAAATACCCTCTGTTTCAGACTCTGGGCCACTCAAGGAAGATGCAATAGTAAGCAGGACATAGTTTTTGTACTCAAGTTGCTTACTTGAGTCTTAAAGAAAGGCAAGGGAATATGTTTAGCTATCAAATTAAAAATCTAGAAGGTATAGGGAAGATGGCTCTGTTATTGATTTTAGAAATACAAATAATATTTAAACCATATTAGAAGTGCTTCTAAGAAGTCAGGAAAAAATTTACTGTCTATATGAACAACTCCTAAAAGTGAATTCATTTACTAGAGCCCAAGAGGGAAGTACTCTCTTATCAGACAGAAGCCCTCTTCTGATAAAACACACAGACATATACACAACACACCATGATATCAGTTCCATGTGAAAGCCTATTTTTCATCAAAAAATTTCAACCACTAACTCTTGTTTGATAACTTCATTACAGATATACCTTTCATTAGGTATGGCCTAGGAAAGCAGTATTCCACATGAATAAAAGTTTTCCGGAATTAAAGTTTTCTTTTCAAGCAACCATATTCTGCTTACTTCTAGCATTTGTTCATGGAAATTTTTCTCAAATATTTTCTAACTCTTTACATTTTTCTATAGAGACAGGAAGCAGAGTTTGATTCAACTCATCTAACCCAATAGAAACATCTGGTGGTGTCCCGTGCTGTAATAAAAGCTTAACTGTTTCCCCATCTCCTCCTCTGACCTGAGACTACCATCTATCACTTCTCCCTGATGTCAGTGATTTTGCTTCTAACCAACATTAACTTTAGCTGGTATTAACCTGTTGTAAAGTTGAGAACCAACCAATCAAAAAATTATTTTAAAACTGTGTGTTACGAGGCTGGGGATGGTGGCTCATGCCTGTAATCCCAGCATTTTGGGAGGCAGAGGTGAGAGCACGGCCTGAGCCCATGGGTTTGAGACCAGCCTAGGCAACATGGCAAGCCCTTGTCTCTGCAACAAATCAACAAATTAGCTGAGCGTGGTGGCACAAGCCTGTAGTTCCAGCTACTTGGAGGGCTGAGGCAGAAGGATCACCTGAGCCCATCAGGTCGAGGTTGTGGTGGCCGTAAGCACGGTGCCACTGCACTCCAGCATGGGCAACAGAGTGAGACTCTGACAAAAAAAAAAAAAAAAAAACCCAAACAAACAAAAAAACACCAAAAAACTGTGTGTTAGGAAAGAATCTGTAGGCTCTGAGTATGTGTAAGTTGCTCTACTAGGGAGTAAGGCTATAGGGTGTTGTGACAGTTATTTGATTTACATATGTTTTTCTCCACTTATTTCTGGTTTGGGAGTTTGGCTCTGGGGCTAAGGCTGCCACAAGTCTAAGTCTCATCACTGAAACACAGCACGTATTCTTCATGCTAGTTTTTTCTCAGTCCTATACATTTATTGTTGTGAAATTCCAGTTTGTCTATTTTCCTTTCTTCTCATTTCTTCTTCAATAGGAGAAAAGCAATTTATTTCTTTATGGCTACATTATATATATCAGCAGCAAAAAACAGAAGCAACTTAAATGTTCAGTAATGGTAAATTATTGAATGCTGACATAAAAACCGTGTGATAAAATGAGGAGGCTTTTTTACTAAGTAATTCTGTGTAAACCCCAGCACCAAAAAACTATACTGTCATTATAACTATGTAAAAAAAAATTAGAATTATATGAATAAAAATTGGAAGAGAACCTGGCAAAATGAAAATATCCATTATGTTATGTGGAGGATTATGGAAGCACCTAAAATTTTCATGTAATGCTCTGTAAAGCTATGATTATAATATATTTAAAATATCAAGGCAGTAAAAGTGAGTTTTTTATTATAATTAATAAGATAACTGCTGGTTTCAAAACTGGTAGGAATAGAAGATGGCTCTACTTATGCTGCCTCAGGAAGATCAAAAGGGGGAAGACTGTTCAAAGAAACAAAAGAACACAACTGAATACTAACAAACCAAAGACATTTTGAGCTTGTAGTGATACAAAGAATCATTTCTCATATGCATTCTGGGCATCTGCAATGTACTCACTGCATGTGAGAGGGGAATTGACTATTTAGACGGCTCCCAATGGGCTCTCTACCCCACTCTGAGCAAGAGGCCTGGACTTCCTATACAACCCGAGGGTCACCCAGACTATTCAAGCATGCATCTGTCAAAAGCCCTGGCAGAAATACTCACTCCGGCTTTCGTTTCTTGCCAATTTACTGGGATAACTTTTTGTCGTGGGTACATATGGCTCTGGAGGTGGCAAATCGGAGATCGGATGGAAGTAGAATCTGCTTTCCCACTCATCTGGAGGGAGAAACAAACAGTGTGTTCAGTAACAGACAATCTGCTCAGAAGGCTTGTGTAATGAATGGCACAGAATGAAATTCAGAATTGCAGAAATCAGTTCGAGTTTTTATGCCCAGAAGTTTACAGAAAAGGTCACCAATGAGCACACTGACAAAATATATTAGCCTGCAAATCAAGACAGAATAATTTTTTTTTTTGAGTTGGAGTCTCAATTCGTCACCCAGGCCGGAGTGCAGTGGCATACTCTGGGCTCCGGCGATCCTTCCACCTCAGCCTTCCAACTAGCCGGTACTACAGGCCCGCGCTACCATGCCCAGCTAATTTTTTATTTATTGTAGAGACGACATCTTGCCAGGTTGCTTGGGTTGGTCTCGAACCCGCAGGCTCAGGGAATCCACTCGCCTCGGCCTCCCAAAGTGCTTGGATTATAGGCTGAGCCATTGAGCCCAGCAAGACAAAATTATTTTAACTAGAGAGATTAGGATCAGCCAGTCCCTCTCAGGAGCTAGGGGATAGGGTATGGGACACCTTTCTTCCCACCAGTGGGCCCAGGAATAACCTAGACCACTCTGATAAGAATGGCAAAGGTGAGCAGCTTAATATCTACAGGCCATTTACCTACAGCAGTTGGAAAACGTTGGGCCCCTTCCTACAGCAGTTTAGAAATGTAGATAATGAGAAGGCATACTACAAAAAGGGTTCTTTTCGGAACTCTGGAACCTCTGGGACATTAACCAAAATGAGACTCCAACGAAGAACAGGTCATAGAAAGATGATCAGCCTTTTTGGGAAGTGGGAGAGGGGTTTACTTTTTTAATCTGAAATCATAGTGGGCCCTAGGATAGTTAGTTAGATAGTCAGATCAGTGCAGTGTAGTGTGATAACACTGATGGAAAAAGATATGTTAATTCAAAGAAGCAAAACACACACACACAGAATTACCATTCAACTGCTGCCCTCTATTATAGGTCAAGGGGTTGGGACCATACCTCACCTTCACATGGAGAGTCCTGGAAGCCATTCCTAATTGATGTTGATGGTGGAGGTGGGGGAGGTGCCCCAGTACCAGGCCTGTCAGGGGGAAGGGGAGGCCTGGGTCCACTCCTGGGACTATCCACTCCACTCCTGGATGGCAGCTGAGGGGTGGCAGGCAGGGCCCGAGACGTGCTGCCATTTCTGCTGATTGGAGGAGGGAGTGGAAGTGGGCCTACGACAGAAGAAAAGAAGACACTTAGTGTCAGACCTTGCATCCACATTCCCATGTTTGTGGTCATCATCAATGTGCAGTTGGCAGGGCCCTGCTGGACACATGCCCTTTAACTAGGGGGTATGGAGAAATGGTGGAGGCTTTCTAGGAGACTTTCCAAGAAATGAGGAAGCATACATAAACACAAAAATGTTTGTATGTACACACGTCTATGTAAAGCAAGTGCATATTGACAGGTAAATGGCTATTTTGGCTTTAAGTTAGTACTGAAATTGGATTCAGTGAAATTGAAAACAGGTGTAATCTGTTTATACTGGCAATCGTATAATCGTTTTGAAAAAGTTTTCAAAACTTGATAGTCCTTCTAAAGAGCTGTTGAACTAATTACTGCAATAGAATAGAAGAATTTTTT